CAGTTGGTGGAGGATCAAAGGCACCTGGAAAAAGGAGCAGGAGACAACAGTTCAGGAGGCTCGTACAGGATGACCACCACCTTTTTGGCACCCAAGGAGCCAACACCGGGTACTCTTAGGGAGATTTTGAAAGAGAAGATTGCCGGAGGAAAACCTGGGGACAGCTTCAAGAAGCTCACATAAACAAAATTACAGGAGAAGAGGGCGAAGGGGATATGCTTCTAATGTAACGAGAGGTATATGCCAGGGCACAGGTGTAAGGACCGAACTCTTCAGGTTTTTACCGTCAGTGATGAAGAATTAATTGAGGGGGGTGTCGTCTTTCCACCTTGCGGACAAGGTGGATCTTTGGGAGGGGAGTATTGTTAGACCAGTCCAGCTGGTCCATATTAGACCGGCTCAACGAAACGGAGACCGAACTCTTCCGCCTCCTACAAATATCGCGTGTGCGCCGCCGAAGCAAACGAACCAGTTTAGGAAGGATTTTTTAGGGATTTGGGAGAAAAATTTGAATGTGGGGACTGTTTAGGGATTTCCTTTTTATGTGTATGCATTAAATACTTTGTTTTCCTAGGGTTAGGGCATCTTGAATTTGGCTGAAATTTGAGATCTCTTAGATTTAGGTTTTCTTTGGGCTCTAGCGGCGTCTAGAGATTTGGGAGAGATCGATCCTCCTCCCGAATTGAGGATCAATTGTATCTTGTTTGTTTTTTCTTCAGTTAGTTGATTTCTTGCAATAAAATCTACTATTTTTCGGATTTTCATTGGAGTTTGGAAGAGTTTTCACGTTATTTTCCGAAAATTGATAGGAAATTACTTGAGATCTACAAGTGTTTCCTATCAGGTACATCCTCTTGCAAATGTCTAGTAAGACTATTCATGGATAAAGCAAAAAATATATAAGCTTAAAGATGATCCTTGATGTAATCCAACTGAAAGAGGAAAATATTTGGCCAAAACATCTTGAGTTTGAATACAAGCAACAACTCCTGCATAATAAATATCCATAAAGATTTGAATATAAGCATTATAAAGCAGATACTAGAGTGGATAAATTTAAAGCCAAACCTGTTGCAAAAGGGTAAGCCTAAGCACAATTTTCTTAAATTCCTACTTTCGTTGCATGTGAGGAGACCGCTAAACGGTTATACTGAGGATAGTGTTTTTATATTTTTATTTTGTTTTCGTTCAATTTGGCTTTTGTTTTTCCTAAGTTTGTTTGGATGTTTGCAAGTTACAATTGAATCGAGTTTGATTTAAGTCTTGTCCTGATATTCTCCAGTTTGTCTCTTTACTCTAGTTTTTGCTCGCATCATATGTGAAAAGGTTGAAGTAGCTGCAGTGGAAGATAAAATTAGAAAGAGTTGCCGTAGATGGTTTTGTCAATAAAAGGGCGGCCTTCCTATGACCGGGTTAGGAAAGTAGATGTATTAGATTTGACTTACGTTAAAAAAGGTAGAGATAGACCTAAAAAGATTTGGTTAGAAAATATTAAAAAAGACCTTTCTTTTTTAGATTTAAATGAGAATTTGACTCTTAACATAACATAATGGAGAAAAAGGATTCATATAGCCCATCCCATATAGTGGGATAAAGTCTTGTCGTTGTTGTTACTATTGTTATAGTTACAAGGGTGGAGATGAAGATCAATGGTGTTCATTGTCATTTTAGGCCTCCACAAACTATTTAAAAAAACAGCTGATATAAAATTGAAGTTTTCAAATTGATAGAATTGTAAACTAACAATAGATTTGCACGTGCAGACACACAAATAAAGGTTAAGTCAAACTTGTCAAACTGCACTGATCGTACATGGTAGCTGCACCACAATAGGGATGATACGAATACCCATGCAAGTAGATGGGTGATACGCAGCCATCATTTTAAATTTTTAATAATAAAAGCAGAGATAGCAATTACTATTGGATGAGGATCAAGCTAAGTATATAAATTAAGGAATGAATTGAACTGTTAAAATAAGCACTATTGATAAGAAGATAATGGTATAAGCATATTGCTGAGCATCATTTGTACGAGAATGTCAAGAAAAAGTTATGGCAATTTCATAAAACGATAATAAGATCCATTATGTTAAACGTATCCAATCTTTAGGCGATTAAAAAAAACGACACAAATAAGTATGGCGTATATTAACATGTTTATGTGAACATATGAAAAAACTGGAATGAATAAAATATGAAATCATCATGCTACAGAATTCAGGTAGCAGCGCCAATTGAAAACAGCAATGTCAAAATAGACAAAAATAGCTTGGGCATGTGCCATGGAGAAGATATATGTGGAAGTCATTGGAAGGAAAAGGAGCATACAGAATAACTAAACCCTAAACCCTAAAAAAAAATCCTAAAAACCCCAAAAAAACCATAAATCCTAAACCCTATCCGCAAATTATGAAAAACTAACTTGACATAATTACAGTTATACAACACTTCATAAAAAAGAATGGAGGAAAAGTATATATGCATAAGCAAAATAGGTGATAATCATGTTTGTGGTATTAGTTAGATATAGTAGAAGAGGAATCTTAGTATCTATGTAAAAACTGTCATCACCTAATTCTTATCAGTAAACTGAAGCACAGAATAAAAATCTAGGGTAAGGTGATTTTCTAAAATATCTTCTCCTTGAGCTTTAAACGAAATGATATTAGAAAACCAAACTAGGCGTGACAACCAGCTTGAAGCTAGTGTTAGATTAAGATGCATTTGTGAATTACATTATCAGTATCATCCTTACACTTTTGGCTGGGTTTATGAGCCTTCATTCCGTTGCTGTTGATGCTGGTTGGCATGCTAAGTCTATCTTGAGTAAATGTTTAGGCATAACATTTATTCATGTTGACTTCAATCAACCTAATTTTTTCCTAATTCTTTCACGTTATATACCCATCTTATTGATGCATCTTTCACCCGCATTTATATTGCCTAAATTTCTCTCTATATCACACTATACATCTTTAAATTTCTAGAAAACACTAATCGTAGTAAAAACAATCCTAATCAACTAGAAAGACTTAAAAGCTTAATTAAAATTAGCCAAAGGTTGGGCGAGGAGAGTCATCACTCATCAGCCAATAATTTTACATAAGCAAAGGCACAGCCTATTGCAAATGCATTACATGCTAATTATCTCAACAACAGCTTCACCGATGAGAAGAATACATATCATATGACAAACATGGAACCAAAACTCAAATTCATTAAAACACTATTTTAGACAAATTCCAACTCATTGGTGCTACAGAAGTTAGGAATGTAAACAAATATTTAATAAATAGAATTTGAAAAGTTCTTCATGCTAAATTTTTTCCCCTTTCTTTCTAGTCTATTATCAGGTTAAACCTTCATACAAAAGGGATTTCAGGACAAAATTTCCGGAGAAACCAAATGATCATTAGTCTCATTCTTCTATCCCAGAAAAACAAAAGCATGTGCTGGTTATTGTTTTTGCGGGGAGGTGAAGTAACACTAAATTTATGACAGACTAATTTTGCAAATAGGTGGCATTTAAAAGGTGACAAAACGGTTCATGGAAAAAGGCAGACTAAAATTTTAAAGTTGAACAAAACTTGGTGTATGATAAAGACGGCTAGTATCATAAGATTGTTATAAAATTCAAGAAGAGGAAGGGAATGGTGCAATCGCTAGCAATAGAAGTTCTAGCGTGACCAAAGAGTTTCCAACACAACAAGATTAAGGCTTCGTTTGGGATCACTTTCTTACAACTTCTTAAAGTAATTTTTTAGTACAAACATTTTAATTTTGTCCTAAAACGTTTTTTTAAGAAGCAATAAGAAAGCTATACCCAAACAAAGCCTAAGTCATACATCAATATTAAAAATGTATCTTTTTGTGCCTATTGTGGAGATGCTTGACCGGTAGCTCCAATAGCATTGCCCTTAGCCTTCCATGGAAAAGGATATGGCACAATTTCCAAAACAAAGACGTGATTGATTAAAGATAAGCAGATTGGCATACACTTGCATAAGAAATAGTTATAAATAATAAGCGAGATCATTTTAGAAAAAGGTGAGAAGTAAAAAATTTAAAAAGTTAGGTTTATTGAAAGCTTAATATTAATAAAATAAGATTTGTCATATGATATTCAATTAGATGCCAGATAAATAAGTATTAGTTAAGAATATCAAAATATAGTAGCATGATGCCTATGGGTGATAAGTTCTAGTTGCTTGAATCTATTACAAAAAAAAGTTGTATAGATGAGATTATAAATTCTAGCACTAAAATTCGTTGGTTAAAATCGAGAAACGCCCAAGGAGAACGAAGATTCTATAATCATCAAGACAATCAAAATTTTGCAAATTTACAATTAGACCAACTAAAATATGCATACGAGTAATGAACAACAAAGAAATCATTAATAATCAAGTTAAGCGTGACAAGAATTAGAATATTAAGATGAATTTATCGTAAAATTAAAAAGGACAAATTAGAAATACTTATATTGGGTGGATATGGCCAGTGGTGCCTATTGAAGAAAAAATTGATAGAAAATAGATTTACGCAGTTTGAGCATGTGCAATACATAATAGAGAATACACTAGTAGAGAGAGTAAATATAATTGATCTAGATTGATTAGAAAGGGAAAGTGATATACCAAAACAAAGTAAGCACCTCAAGTTTTACAAATGACCAGATGGAATAAGATAGCATGAACACCTCCAAACTAATATACAAACTACAAATTATTTTAAATCATTCATTTGACATTGAACTTTAACCAAGGTTTTATTTGAAGATAAAATTAAGTGAGACAAGTAAAGCAAGCAGCCTTTTACAATAAAAGATGTTTCATGTAAAGTCCAAGAACTTCAGCGTGATGAGAAAGAACTTTTTGAGATGGCATCATATATAATCTAAAAAGCTATAAAGACAAAAACTCTACTATCTGGATAGGATAATCATTAAATAGTCTTTTTTTCTACTGTAGCCATTCAAATGCATAAAGTTTAGCTCACCTCTGTCTTGTAGCGTGTGTCTGCAGCTGGTAATCTTAATTGAGCTTTCCAATCTTGTGAGCTGGAAAATCACAAGGAGAATAGATTAATAGAATAAAAAGGCATCTAAACCTTGATAAAACTGGCTAACCATTAAGAGAATAAAAAGAGATTGCCCCATAATATTTTGATAAAACTGGCTAACCATTAAGAGAATAAAAAGGCATCTAAACCACAGCTTAGTAAACTAGTTGAAATTGAGAAGACAATCTTCTAATAACAATTTTAGACTACTGAGATCATATGTTCACACTTGTTAGGACAAAGGGCATTTGTGCCCCATAAAACAAACCACTCTCTTAAAAAGCTTCTTGAGAACATGGTTTAATGTCTCAATTCCAAAAGACAATCTTTTCAAAATGGAATAAAAGAATCAAATATTGAATTCATGTATGTCCTCTAGGGGTGCCAAAATGGGTATTCATATCGGATTCGAGTCAAACTCGGAATTGACCCGGATCCAAACGAATTGACCCTAACTCGACACGGTTATGTAAACGGGTCAAAAATTATGATCTGGACCCGACCTGTCAGGTTACAGGTTGACCCAAATTGCTAACCAGCCTAACCCGAATATCCTTCCAAGTGCGAGCGAACAAATCAGGCGCAAGCTATGCAGGCAAAGGCCGAAGGGGTGCGTCACATGTGCATGTGAAGGCCAGCATGCGCGAGGTGCGACATTATGGCACCAGTGGAGAGATCAAAGGAGACCTATCAAGGACTGGAGGGAATTCAAGGACTGCATAATAGAACGTTTCCAAACTGACCGGGGAGGAAATTTCTATGAGCCGTTCTTTGCTTTGGCACAGGAGGGATCAGTAGCAGACTACCGGGAGCAGTTTGAGCACCTAGCCAGTAGGGTGGAGCGATTATCAGATACGGTAATGGAGGAGAACTTCATGAAGGGGTTGAAGACAGAGATACGAGCAGCAGTGAAGGTTTTGATGCCTCATGACTTAGGGGATGCCATGAAGTTGCCCAGCTGGTGGAAAATCAGAAGAATTTATAGAAGGAGCTAGGAGCAACAGCTCATGAGGCTCTTACAGGATGACAACCACTCTTCTAACACCCAAGGGGCCTGCATCAGGCAACATTAATGAGACCACCAGGGAGAAGCCAGTAGGAGGAGGGAGTTGGGAAAGTTTCAAGAGGCCGACAGAGAAGGAGATGCAGGAGAGAAGGGTAAAGGGGTTGTCTTTCAGGTGCGAGGAGAAGTATACGCCAGGGCATCGGTGCAATGACCAAACTCTTCAAGTTCTCACCGTCTGCGATGACGAGGAAACTGGGGAGGGAGGCGAAGGAGGAAAAGGAGGAGAAGCTACACTTGAATTTGGCTGAGATTTCATTGAACTAAGTGGTAGGATTCACCACGAATCATACCATGAAGGTGAAAAGGGAGATAGAGGGCAGGGAGGTAGTGGTGCTAATTGATAGTGGGGCTACCCACAATTTAATTTCCACTCAGGTCGTTAACCAATTGGGAGTGAAGTTGGTGGACCCCGGTTGCTATGGAGTGATGATGGGTACATGGAAGGTAGAGAAAGGCCAGAGGATCTGTAGAAGAGTGGTGTTGACCATCCAGGGGATTCAAGTAAGGGAGGACTTTCTCCCACTAGAGTTAGGAAGCATTGATGTCATCCTGGGGATGAAGTGGTTGCAAACCTAGGGGGAAACCAAGGACAACTAGGGAGCACTCACGATGGAATTAATGGTGGATGGGAGAAAGGTGGTTATAAGGGGAGATGCAGGGTTATCCAAAGCCATGACATCACTTAAGACCGTGGTTAGGGATATACAAGAGGTGGGGGAAGATTATCTGGTGGGACTACACAGGTTGGATGCGATCAAATTGGATGAGGGAGGGAATGTTTCTCTTTCCGTGCAGCCCTTGGTTCAGCAAAAAAGTAAGGTTTTTCAGTCACCTCAAGGATGGCCACCTCCGCGGGAACACGAGCATATTTCCACCTTGAGGACAATGTTGGATCTTTGGGAGGGGAGTATTGTTATCCATTGGACCGGTCTAGCCGGTCCGCACGGGACCGGCATTTCGCAATTGACGTGGGATCTCCGCCTCCTGCGGAGATCGGGCGGCCCGACCGCCCAAGCATAGCATTTTAGGAAGGATTTTTGGGGGGATTAAGAGAAAAATTTGAATGTAGGGACTGTTTAGGGATTTCCTTTTGATTTGTATGCATTAAATAGTTTGCTTTCCTAGGGTTAGGGCATCTTAAATTTGGCTGAAATTTGAGATCTCTTAGATTTAGGTTTTCTTTGGGCTCTAGCGGCGTCTAGAGATTTGGGAGAGATCGATCCTCCTCTCGAATTGAGGATCAAGTGTATCTTGCTATTTTTCGTGTTCCTTTCATCAAATAATACAGATTATCTACTGTTTTTGTGATTTTGTGCCGATTATTGGGGAGAAAGTTCGTTGTTTTCCAAATATTGATAGGAAATACTTGAGCTTTACAAGTGTTTCCTATCAAAAAATAATAAGTCATATTGCATCTCCTCGTTACATGTCTTGGCTCCACTACTCGGGTGTAATAACTAACTTGACATGACTATCAGAAACACCATGATATAATAACTTTGAAGCACGTGAACTAAGAAAAAATCATTAAAAAAAAATAAAAGCAATTCATACAGTACAAACATTAAAGATAACTATTGCTGAAAAATAAGTAGGGTTATCTGAGAAATCCAAAAGTTGTACTCTTGAAAGTACAAAAGCTGAAACAACAATTCAATAAAAGCTACCGTGATAGAAATTGTTAGCAATCAAAATGCCTAATTCATAACTCAAGGAAATAAAGAAGACAAGCCTTTATAATTAATATCTCCTAATGGCCAAATATGAGAGTTTAAGGGCACTCAAACCAACAAAATGACCAACTTGGTCACAGTATACCCAACAATCTAGAAGCTGAAAAGGCAAGAAAAACTAAATGAGGATAAATAAGCCTTAATCAAGTAATATTAAATTGAATCACACAAAATAAAATCAATTGTGATTTCACAAAGATGGACAAGTTGCTCTATAATTTTTTTGTGCGTGATCATGAAACCATAGAGGAAATGCACATGTAATATATAGCTTTTTGGCATGTTTGTTTCACCAAACAAAGTCCTGTTATGTCCAATTTTTTAAAATCAAAGCAAAAAAAACAAAAGTTTTATCAAACTAAAATTAAATAAAAGCTTCTCCTCAGATAATAAAATAAAGAAGCCATCGTGCATGTAAAATTAAACCACTTTCCAGCAGCATAAACGTAACAAAAAGAGCTAATTTCATAAATTCCATTTTTCAAGTTTAGTGGCGTCCACAGATCCCAATCATAACCAAGTGAAACATGCTTATCCAAAAAAAAAGTATAGTTTTTTTCATAGAATATTATCTTTCTCGTATTTTAAGCTATTTCAAAAAAAATTTACTTTGCAGCAATTTCTAAAGCCATAACTCTCCTTTGCTTGTAAGATCCTGGATTTGGGGTACCAAGAATTTTTTTAAAGATGTTTCTAACAAGGTCATTCAACAATAATCTTTCTAGTGGCCCGAGAAGTTCTCTAATCATTTGAACATAAACTAAAAGATCCAATTAGCCTCCACATTCACCTCAAGGGCTACAAGTCCATCCTCCTTGAGATCAACTCCGCCAAGATCCAGCTCTCTTAAACTTGGTCCGAATTCACTTACCATAGCTACACTAGCAAGCTCAACTCCATCCAGCCCACAATGATAGAAGCTGATATATGAGGGACCATTGAGGTCATGTTCCCCAACAAAGAGCTCATGGTGAACGAAGAGATCAGCCACGAAGTAAAATGTGACTCACATGATTTAAACAACATGTGGTATCACGACTCCTATCAGTGATACCCAAACAACTCCTTCCATAAGCATAAACGCTGAAGAAACTTTTCAGATGCCATTAATTTCTCCAATAATTTAAAAAAAAAAGGCATAGAGCCTTCATTCCTCTCCTTGATGCTTCACTCCTTATGTTGAGAAATGTAACCAAAATAATGTTTGTTCTTCTTATTTAATCCTTGCAAATGAAAATCTTAGAGCAATAGTAGTTGAAAACCCAGATTTAAATCATTTCTAACCTAATATGATAGTGCATTCAGGGTGCAATTTCAGTGGTTTGATTGCTTCCAATATAACTACATGGGTTAGTTTCATATTTTGAGGGAATCAGCCCCAGCTGCCTAAAGTGCATAACAGGGCTAGGATGGGGACCCTCAACTATATAGGGCATGCACCCATTTCTTTTACCCATACTAAAGGGCCTAAACATATTCTACAATGTTCCATAAAAAGAAATAAGTGTATTGACACTTTCTCCCTTTACTTGAGTATTATTAAGCCGCTAAATTGAAACTTCATGCGAACAGATAAGGAAAGGAACCCATCATAAACACTTTAGCTTCTAGCAGCATTGCATCCTATAATCATGCAACTGTTGCTATACTGAAAGTAAAATGGCCGCCTTGTGGACACACCAAAGAGGTTGAAGTCATAGAATTCTGCACAGCTGTTAGTAAACTCGGAAATTAAAAAACAATCCTTTATTCAGCTTAATCAAAAGAACATTGCAAAAACCATCACAAAAACTTCGCTTTAACGTTTCTTCTCATACCTGGAATCAATGGCATCAGAGGGAACTGGTTTCACCAGCTCATTAGAACCAGAATGTCTTTCCATCTGATTCCTCCTTAGCCATTGCTGCTGCTGATGCTGGAATTGTTGATTTTGCTGGCTCTGTGCGGGATTTCTCTCGACGTAGTGCTGCTGAAGCTGATGTCCCCGTGGATAAAAGTTGACATTCGGCTCAACGCTGCCTCCGCGGCCATTGCCGATTCCTGGAGGATATCTTCCTCTAGGGTTCATCCGGACGAGCTAAATGATTACCCAAATCAAAAGTAGCAATAAGTGAAAAATCACATCTTCGATCGCAGGAAATATAAAGTTAGATTTAATAAAGCGCAGGTGCTCAACTACAACCAACCGAAACCCAAAGTTCCCGCGTCTGAGGGAAAATCTTCCAAACCCTAATCCGAAGCGCAGACCAGAACTAGCCGATGTGCGATGAGCCAATGATTTTGCGGATCAAACCTTTGTGACTAACGAGTTGAAAATGGGACGAACAGGAACAGATAGGAAATTATATTATCTTTGAAATTTCGAGGAAGCATCTGCGAATGCAGCGACAGGGGTAGGTATTTGTTCCCACGCTCTCTTTCTCTCCCTCCATTAATTTTTTTTATTTTTCAATTAACGAGCGTAATTTATCATTAACTTGGATAATGATAACAACATTATAATTAAGAGAATTTAATCTTATTAATAATTATAATCCATACATTAAATTTGATTATTATATCTTCAAAATCTTAAATTTAAATCATTTACTTTATAATTTATCTATCGTGATTTAAGAAAAAAATTGATAAAAATAAAAATTATACAACCAAATTAATTAGCTCATACTCAATACATTTATTAAACATATTTAAAATCCGCATCTAATCTAGTTTTATCTTGGAAAAATATATGAAATGTTATTAATAAAATGCATCAGGCTGAGACTTCACTTAGGACAGTTTTTTTACTGCTTCTTAAAGCAGAGTTTTAGTTCAAAAATCTTAATTATTGTACTAGCAAAGTGCTTTAAAAAGCAGTCAGAAAGTCGTCCTAAACAAAATCTTATTTTATGATAAAAAAGTATCTGAAACATTTTATAAAAGGGCGGTAGGACTTAAAATACTTTATGGCACAAAACATTCATTGTTAAAAGATAAACATAAAACTAAGTCGAAGTGTTGCGGAGATGATGATGCCTAGGAGGATGAATAGCTTTTTGCTTGAAAATATAGACCTGAAAGCTTGAACACAAAATGATTTGCTCATATAAAATGTCAGTCATTTGATGACCACATTAGATGAGTAGATTTATTATAATTGACCTATGTTAAGAAAGATATAGATGCTAAAAGGAGGAAAAAGATTCATATTATTGATCCCATGTAGTTAGATAAAAACTTAGGTTTCGTTTGGGACTTTTTTCTTACTGATTCTTAAATTAGCTTTCTAATATAAAAATTTTAAATTTTGTACTAAAAAACTGCTTTAAAAAGTAGTGAGAAAGCCGTTCCAAATGATGCCTTATTATGGTCATTGTTATTGTTGAATCTCATATAACTTAGGAGCGCTTTGTTGCCTCAAAACGAAATGTATAATAAAATGAATTTAATGAATTTTAAATATATGAAATAGTTTATATAAGTTTGAAATAAATAATACATTTTTCTAGTTTGAGTTGAAGATGACTGCATTATAAAGCTCAAAAATGATGGTGGACAATAGCCAACAGGCGACCAACGATGATGGGAGGCGAGAGCCAGTGGGCATCGGCAATAGTGGCAAATTTCCATGAATAACAAAGAATTTATGGTGTATTTAAAAATTGTTCAAATCTAACAAAATTTAAATAAATGTCAAATTTGCACTAGATGGTGTATTTCAAATACGTTCAAAATTTTATTTTCTTTTTTCATTTATTTCAAATCAAATATCAACATTTGCAAAATTCTTGAATTTTGAAACATTTTACACTCATTTTTTATTTTACATTAAATCAAGCAGCCCATTTTTACTTATTTTTCTATATGCTACTAAAAAAAATCGGATAGTTGTAAGAAATACAAAAAACAAATTATAGAATAAAAAATATAAGGAAAGAAATCGAATGAAATACATAGATCAAAAATTTTATTTTATGTCACTAACCTTCAGTGGCAAAATAAAAGTTAACTCTTAAAATTCCAGCCGATGAAAACAATGATATTGACCCTAAAGGCTTTAAGCATATAATGAGCAAGTTGGCTCAGCCAATATAAATATTTAAAAAATAAAATTTATGCCCCAATAAAACTAAGAGAGAGAGAGAGAGAGAGACTTTGAAGCTTACTATTTTAACAAATAGATTGTCTTCTTCACTAATACTGAAACAACCATTTCCTTATTCAAAATCATCCCAATTACATGCCTTGGCGGCACTTAATACTTACAATCATTAATCGCAGAAACAACCTTCCCCATCTCCATCCCTCGACTTCCCTTCACCAAAACAACGTCGCCTAAACCCAAAAACTCCCTAACTTTCGCTGCAAGAGATTCTACATCTGAACTGCAAACCACATCAATCTTCTCCATCAGCTTCAGTTTTTCGGCAGCGACGAGAAATCTTTCTCCGACAAGCATTATAAGCCCAATAGAATCACAACAACAGAGATCGAGCACCAGTTCATGGGCAGCAGCTTCAGTCACACCCAGTTCAAGCATGTCGCCAAGTACGCAAACCCTTTTACCAGTACAATCAAGGTTCTTCAGAGATTCAATGGCCGCAGCCATGCTTGGAGGGCTGGCATTGTAGGCGTCGTTAATGACTGTGATGCCGCTCCTTGTGAGGAGCATTTGGGACCGCATGGGCGCGGGACGAAATCTTGAGAGTGATTCTGCGATTTGAGGAAGAGGTACGCCTAATGAGACGGCGACGGCTGTTGCAGCACATGCATTCATGGCTTGGTGCAAACCAGGACCATGTAGCTTGAATTCAACCCTGAATGAGAAGATGATTGCACATAACTTGTCATTTGCATAGAATCAAATGTTTATCATAGTCAAAGAACAAATAAAAGAAAGGGGGATTTATATACATACCATTTTATTTCATACTATTTACATATTTAATATCCTAAATTTTAATATTTCATAGCTACCAGTCATATAAAATTTTAATATCAAATGTATCGCTCATATATTTAATTCTTATCACTCATATCACCTTATAACCTCAATTTAAGTTAAAAACTATATTTGAAGCATAAAACATGAGTTTTCAACATCAATTTGCCCTTCCCACAAGAATCTCTCTGACCAAAAGCATTTTCCTCCATCCCTTCCCTTTAAAAGTTGTATTGTGGCTTTGAGCCATAACTCTGGTTACTAATGATGTGTGACTAAAGTTCATCAAGGCTCTTGGCTCCTGGGCTTAGGAGACATGTCATTATACCACTATACTTTTCTGACCACGTAGGTATATCTATAACGTAACTTAGAAAAACGGAAGCCTTGGTATTGTTTCCCACCCCAATAAGTCATGTCATGAATTTATGATGACAATGACGGGTTTGCAGTACATCATATCACTTGTTGGCCCACAATCACCGTTAAGAATGTCAATATAGACACCCTTTCGGCAATATGCACCAAGTCAACCAACCTGAATCTAGGTTCGCACCAATATCGCATTAAGGAAATTGAATATGGCCCATCATACATATCCTTATTAACTTCAACATGCCTCTGACACACCCATTTTCCTTAATGCAAACCAAATTAATTTCATAATACTTCGATCATAAGTCTTATCAACATCTACAAAAATCATATGAAGATTAATTCTTTGGTCTACGTACATTTTCATTAATTTTTACACCAAAATCACTTTTATTGCGATTCCTAGCATGAAACCAACTTGACTTTCCTATAATGCCATAGTTTTTCTAAATTTGCATTTAATTTTTCTCTTCCATAATTTCATTATATAATTCATAAATTTCCTTTGTGATACCATAATTCTAAACATCTTCTTTTTCTTAAATATGGCCATAAAAATTTTCTTCTCCAGTAATTTACATCTACAAAAATCATATGAATATTAATTCTATGGTCTACGTACATTTTCATTAATTTTTACACCAAAATCGCTTTTATTGCGATTCCTAGCATGAAACCAACTTGACTTTCCTATAATGCCATAGTTTTTCTAAATTTGCATTTAATTTTTCTCTTCCATAATTTCATTATATAATTCATAAATTTCCTTTGTGATACCATAATTCTAAACATCTTCTTTTCTTAAATATGGCCATAAAATTTTTCTTCTCCAATAATTTATTATTATCTTAGTCAATAATAGTTTATTAAAAGATTTATTAACCAAGCATCTGTAATATCACCCATAAGTCTACAAATCTCAAGAGGTATCCAATCTTGACTTAAAACTTTATATTTATGCATCTTTTTGAGAACTAACTATACTACACTATATGCATCATAATTTTATTAATTATACACTTCTAAAATGATTTCTTCATTAAAATTAAAATTTAATTAATTGTCAGCATTTTCATCTTTATCTCAATCAAGATCTTAATATCTTAACTTCTAATAAATCCAACCCAACATGATGCACAAAAATAGCACAATTAAAGATGCATCAAAATAATTAGCATCATGTCTCAAAGCTGTGGAGTAGTAAACTTTCTAATTAAATAAAAATTATCATCATCAGCCTTGTACAAAATATTTGGTATTGGATTTAAGAATTCTCAATCTCTATTCATTCTTATTAATTAAGTATGCAAATCAAAAGTTTTTTGAATGTAAAACTATCTTGGAAGGATAGAGATTACTTTTTAGTTGCATGTTCCTCATTGGGATAATGGCTATAAGGCTATTGATGCTGAAGTCCTGGACAAATTTAAGTCAAGAGGGATTTTAATAAATTAAATGTCACTTTGAACCTTATAGATCTAACGCTCAAGCATTACCATATAGCCCATTATACAACCTATTGAAATCAATGCACATTTTTGGTTCAACTAATATCTACTTATTCCAATACCAAACGTGCTATTACAAATGGCGGTGGCAAATTTACCGCATATAGTTAGAAACTAAGGTTAGATGAACCGGCTGGGTTTCTTTGAAAAGCAAGAGAAATATAGGGCACATTAATTGACTTTTAGTAGTTATATTCCTTCTTATAGTTATTTCTCCCCAATTCAATCTCTCATAGTTATCCTCAGATGTTTCATTTGACCAAATGTATATGAACTTCAAAGAATTAACTCCTTTCTTTTTTATTCCAACTTGATAGTGCTAATTTATGCAATCCCAACTTTTATATGTAATTATGACCTTTGAACCTCATATTGAATGGAATGCTAAAGATGGATACTAAAAAGTTTTTAAAACAATGAAGAAAGAATACTTCTTACATTTTTGGAGTCCTTTTGTCTGCAATTTTAAATCGGTTGGTGATGGACGTAGGCATGTTATTTTCTATGATCACACGAATTGCACGACCACCATCAATGTTTTCAGCCAAGAGCAGCCTAACATCACATCCAACTCCTCGTCCAAAAAGTACCTAACCAAGAAAATAATATTGCAAAATCAGTAATAAGGGAAGTTATAACTCACAAGCGCCAAATGGTTGGGATGAGACTATTTATGATGATAAAGAAGATAAAGTTTTATTTAAAAAAAAAATAACTCCAACTTTTTAATGATTTTCAAGATTGTGTTGTGCATTTTAGCCTCTTTGTTAATGTAAGGTAGCATTGCATAAATCAATTCCACCTGAGATGTTGCATTGGTGAGAGCTCCATGCACTGAGTACACCATTTTTCTTTTTGTGCTTCTTGAATTAAAATTCTGATAATGAGACTCTTTCTTATGTTGAAGTGTAAAATTAAGTTAAGCTAGTTGCAATATATTGTGAAAAAATCTGCTAAAGAGAATAATGCAATTAAAATTGATGTTCATCAATCAAGATTTTCTAACATAGGTCTAATAAGTGATGCAGGTTAAAATGCAATCAAATTATTCAGTAAAGATAAAATTTGTTATGAGTTCTGCACTTTGAATGGTTTGTACAAATTCAGTATAAGTTGTTTAATTGTGAATAATAAATGCACAGTGCAATAATTCTAGCAGACAAATATAGTTTGAAATCCTACATGCAAAAAGAACAGGGAAATATATTTGAATCTACAAATTTAATTGGAAGATTCTACCATAGTTTTTAAAACTAAAAATGCAATAAAATTTCTATGTAACTGATTCTTTGGTTAATGAATTAAGAAAATAACAGATCCAAGCTGACAAACACTGAACATGCATACTAGTGAATCAATTACTGGACCCTTGAAAAAATGATGCAACCTAAGTTCCTAAAGCTTTTAGGAGAACACTTAGGCAGGCAATTAAGAAACTTCCTTTCAATAACACAAACTGAGAGAGACTTGGCAAAAAACAAACATTAGAAATTGTTTAGAAAAATCACGTGGGAAAGAAAGATACAAAACACATAAACAAAAACAACCCTCGGAATAACCACGACTAGTCATCTAGAGAAAGGTACTCAAAGGAAAGATCTAACCAATAATCCACCACTGAAATTTTGATCCGGCACAAGTCTGCACTCCTCAGATAAATACCAACATAATAAGGCAACAACACCACCCCACAACTCACAATGTTTAGAGAAGAAAGATATAGGTAGAAGGGAAACTGTTACGAGCGGACCGGTCCCCTCTGGACCGGTCCGATACTATTCCAGGCGGAAACACTCAAAAGGGGCGGAACCCCCTGTGGACCCCACGATTGCTGAAATTGATTTTGGGAGGGAGAATTTTGAATGAGGGGCTGTTTTAGGAAGTCCATTATTGTCCTTTATGATTAATTTGTATAATTAGGAGATTAGGGGGGAAAGAGAATCATCTGGAATTTGAATTGTTTTGAGATCTAGGTTTTGGTGTCTTGGGCTCTTGGCTTCGCCGGAGATCTTTTGGAGAGTTTTTCCTTCCTCTCGAATTGAAGGAAAGCTGTATCTTGCAAGTGCTTTTCGTCCGTTATCGAAATAAAAGTGTTTGCAGTGTTTTTCCTACGTTTTCTCCTACGTTTCCTCTCAGATTTTCGTGCAGTTGGCTGTTTTTCTGCTGTGGACAGTAGTCTTCCTTTGGATCCTCTTGGTTTTGGTGTGAAACACTTGGAAATCCAAGTGTTTCCTATCAGAAACCATAGAGAGAAGAAATAGAAAGAAGACCGAGAGAAAGTATTAAAGGATGGGGGAAAGACAAGCTCGCAAGTCATGAAGAACCCTCAGGTTGAATTATTCTTCTCCAAAAAAAAATCGTCAACAAGAAAATTTCAGCCACTTTATATAGGAGAATGAGAGGAAAGGGACATGTAATTGTTCAATTAAATGGGCCAACATTTCAGCCAATAATAACAAACCAAATTAGCTCTCAAAGGAGAAGCTGAAGCATCAAGCACAAGAATCAGCAAAAGGGGGAAACTGAATAGCCAAAGATGGAGGGGGACGAATCTCAAGCAACCAAATCAGTAAGGGGCAGAACTGAACAACCAAAAGGAAGAGGGGAAGAATCCAAAGCAGCCAAATCAGCAAGGGGGAAGAACCAAACAACCAAAAGGAAGAGGGGAAGAATCCCAAACAACCAAATCAGCAAGGGAAAAATCGAACATCAAATAGGGGAGGGGAAGTAAGATCAAACTCAATGGTATGAACCAACTCGATAGCAATGAACCCAACATGATCATTGGTTGTTTTTCATCATAGGGCAGTACCAAAAAAAATCATATAGTCCAATATCATGAAAAAATAAAAATACATAAAATATAAATTCTTGACTACATAAAAAATCCAACATAAATCATAAATAGTTATAGCCCAAACTGCAATAGGAATTCAAAAAATTATCTAGTCCCTAAGGTGTTTTCGGTGTTAAAGTGTTTAGGTTGTCATGCATGTGGAATATTGTGCTTACTCACAACTATTACCTTAGAAGCAATTGATTTCTATTACGTTATTTATCTCCCATATAAGCATTTTCATGACACCATATTTTATAAGAATATATCATAAAGTTAGAGGATGTAAGGAATTCTCTTTTTTAAAGAATGAGATTCCTAAGCTTGATGATATCAAAGAATAAATGCAAGATGATGAATTGTTTGTGAGGTGAAAACATATAGAAAAAGGGAAAGGCCCACCTCTAGAGGCAAGTTAATTTATAGGAACAAAAAATGTTCCCATTGCTAGAAGCAAAAGCATAACAAGAGAATTTTGAATGGAAAATAAAAGTAGGTGGGAATCGACAACATGCAAACACAACAACATAGATTCTAGTGATGTTTTGTTAGGACTACATGCTACATGCAGAATGATCAGTGAGTACTTGACTTAGTATATTATATTCATGTATAATGATAAATATTTGTTTTCTACTATTAATATTAACTATGCAATGGACATATGTTCGTAGGAAATAATGATGTGTAAATAATCTTGATCCTAGGCACTATTTGTATTAGAACAAATAAAGTTATATTTATGACTTGGGCGGGTTGAAATATGTACCAAATTTAAGAATAAACATTGTATATTTAAGTGCTCTAAATGACGAAGGGTACAAGTTTTTGGGAATATTAAGATCTTTAAGCTTTTTAGAACCTATGATTGTGATCACAAAGGTCAAAAGAGTCAGAGGATATGTGTTGCATGGTCAACTTTAGGAGTTGCTTCAATTATTTCTTTGCCTATGTTTGAGTATCACATTTTGGGAAGTCAAGTTCAGTTAGCTTTCAAGCTAGATGAATATTCTGGAATAAAGTCAAGCATATGATGGGAAGACATCATGCGCTCAAGGGGAATAGATTTGTATGGCATAATTTGTATTGATGCTAGGTCGCACCATTGCAACACTTAAGGTGAGAAGCCCTTCACTTTCAGGGGTATGACAATTTAATGTTAGATGCACATTTAGGTTAAGTGTGCAAAATTTATGCTACATGGGTCTTTCATAGATGCTCATTTCAAATAATTTAGGCCTAATATGATTGTTAAGTATTGAATCCTTGTATCTTTGGGAAGTTAAAAATACTTGGCTTTGAGAGGTAGTCATAAAAGAGATCAATTTTTGTCAATGATATTGGATCAAGGGGGGCAATTATTTATGTGAATCAATATTCTAGCTACCCAAATTACCCTTTTATATATTTATACAAGAATTCCAAATTGAATCGGCTCCCAAAGTATATGTTCACGTGTAACCTCATAATTTCCCAGGAATCATGCCAACTTAGTTTGCATGACAGATTCTCTGCATAAGCTGCATGCATTGGTTGTTTGATGGTCATAGATAGAGTTACTCTGCCTAGAGTTTGAGATCAAACAATCAATTAGAAGCCCAATGTTGGTGACTTAATGCATACAAGTGCCATTTGGCTGCTGCAATTCTTGGAGGATTTTGACGACTTGGTAGTGCATGCGAGAAGAAGATTTCTTGTATTTTAGGTAATCTCAATAATATAAAATTATTGGGTTTTTTCTGCGTCTTCTCCTTTGTGTGTGGATGTACATGGGATTTAGGGGAATGGGCTTGGAGAGTGTTCTTGGTATTTACATCAATATTATAATTTATATTTTATTAGTGGATTGGATCCTCTCTCCTCTCTAGTGGAATTAATATTTGTTGAAGCCAAACTACACAAATCTTACTGTCTTAGTGTTGTCTTTTCTCTTTAATGTTTATGTTTAATTCAAGCACATTGTTATCAATACTTGTCTAGCTTGAGCATTGAAGACTTTTACCACCTTCGTTCTAATTATATAGAATATTATCGTTGAACTAAAAGAGTGCTGAGAGGTGATATAAGCGAAAGGTAAAACAAATATAACTGTTGGAGTTAATTGGATATGATAATGAAAGAAAAGTAGATTATCCCTGAAATTTTAAAAATGTCTTCCATCCTATCCTGGAAATAAAATTATTATGTCATGAATGCTTGAAAAACACCTCTAAAAGGGTCAGACATTATTTAGACCTATACTAAGCCAAAAGAAAGCTAACTTGATCTCTGAAGGAACTTAATAGCCCATAACATGTGTTCTTGGTTCTTACTTATGAAAATACCATGAATTAAGAAAAAGCAATAATGCAATTAAGATATACCTTCCTTGTTCCAGGTGGAATTGGAATACTCAAAACTAGAGGATCATCACCATTCAACACGCATATGTCACCTGGCTTTGCCTCTGCCAAAAGCTCCCCTTTTGCCTTTGCAACATTCTCCAAACCATGCAAATACTCCAAATGGCAGGGACCAACATTCAGAATCACTCTCACTGATGGACAACAAATTCGTGCCTCCGCCAAAATCTCCCCCATCCTATTCATTCCAAGCTCAACAATTGCAGCCTTAGCATCCAATGGAATACCAATCAGTGTCAAAGCAACCCCAACCATGGCGTTGTGGTTCCCATGAGTCTGGTATATTCGACCGAGGCTCCCAAGTGCAAGTGCTATCATGGTTCTTGTAGTTGTCTTACCAACACTTCCTGTTAAACCCACTACTATGCCATGAAACCTATTTCTAGAAAACTTGGCCATTTTCTCAAGAGCAGCAATGGTGTCCCCGTCCACCTTAATGAAACCATTTTCCCAACCTCTACATACTCTATTTCCAATAACTCCTACACAACCCTTTTCACCAGCCAATGCCTCATCAACATAATCATGGCCGTCAGAATTTTTTCCAGAAATGGCGAAAAACCATTGACCCGGCAACAAGGTCCTAGTATCAGTTGAAATAGTCCCAGCGAGACCCCATCTAACAACTTCTCCGCCCACAGCTTCTGCAATCTCAAATGCACTCCATAAGTATTCATCACGAAAAATTCTAGTTCCAAATGATTCAGAAGAAGCCAATCCTGGACCAGCGGTTGGTATGGCTTCGACATTTGGACTCTCAGAGATCACAGCATCCCCTGCATATGAATGAGCAATAAATGACCTAATGGTCCTGGAATCGGAAAATAGATAATAGCTCGGATTTGCTTGTCTGTGTGCTTTGTGCCTCAGTTTCTCGAATCTACAGAAACTTTTGTTTGATTTAGGGTTTAAGCTGTCTTTATTAGAATAGCAAAGCATTTTGCTCTGTAAAACCGTAAACCCAAAAGTCCAGGAAAGGCTGCCCATGATCACTAAATCAAGTGAAGTAAGAACTGAACGTAGATTCAATGTGATGCCCTAAAATAACGATAAAGACAGAGAAAACCAAGCCTGTAATAACTAAGCAATGATAGAAAAGCCATGGCTAATTTTTTTGTTTTGCTCTATCTGATCCATGGATATATTAACACTGATTCGAGAGCAACCACTGATCCGAATTGGACTTCTCAAAAGAAACAGGCTTGATGCTTTGATTGATGAATACCTGTAATCCATCAAATGTTGAAATAGCTCGGAGTCGCTTCCTTGGATTGGGGTCGCCCTCCAAAGAATAATGAGAAGAAGGTGAATCATATTTTAATCGTTCAGCTCCACGGAAAATGACCGTTCGGTTTCTCGGATTCTCCAACCAGTCATAACAAAAAAAATTGTGAAAAATGAAATAAAGAGAGGAAACTATTAATAATTTGTTCGAATGCCAATAGTACAGAGTTTGATTGTTTAAATTAATCTGATAAATTTTGAAGGTGTTTGAACTAAAAAAAATTTAGGAGATTCACATACACACCACATATTATGCTATCACATATCTAACACAAAAAATTTCAATATTTTATGACTGCATATGTGTATTGAATGCAATACATGCATATGAAAATACAGAACACAACTAAATGCAATACATGCATTTGAAAAATAAACAAAATGAGCATTCAAAACTACCCAGAAGCATTCCACTCTTCTTTAAATTAAATTTTATGTCTCTATTATGATTTGCTTTCTCCAACCTTACTATGATACCAAAAAGCTTGTCATAATCGACATGATATCACACAAGTCATATTGTGTCCAATTGTAGCAAAATTGACCTCAAGATCTAGCTGGAAAAGTTTAAAATAAAACTTCTAATTTATATATTACACAAAATCACAACTAAATACAATATAAAGTGAAAGACTATTGAATCTCAAAATAATTTTCTGTATATGATCATAAAATATATGCAATCTAAAGTCTATATATAACAACACTTATCAATAAAAAGAATAACAAAATAAAAGGCATGCCTACAAAAATATCAACTAACCAAAATATACATACAATACATATCAAATTTTACTATTCAAACTACTCAACTCACTACTTACTCTTCCCCCGTCCTAAAGAATGGAAGTAAAAGTAAGAATGAGCTAATATGACTCAGCAGGCTATCACAATCTAAATAAAAAATTAATACAACAACAACAACATCAAGCCTTTATCCCACTACGTGGGGTCGGCTACATGAATCCTTTTTCTCCATTGTGTCCTATTAAAAATCAAATTTTCGTTGAAATCTAATAAAGAAAGGTCATTCCTAATATTTTCTAACCAAGTCTTTTTAGGTCTACCCCTACCTTTCTTAACATAAGTCAAATCTAATACCTCTACTCTCCTAACTGGGTCATCGCAAGGCCGCCGTTTTATGTCAATTTCACCATCACTCTGAACAATAGATCCAAGATATCTAAAACGTGTACTCTTATTAATGACTTGATCGCCCAAAGTCACAATCCCCTCACTAGGTCTATTACTACTAAAATTACACTCCATATATTCCATTTTAGATCTACTCAAGAGAAAACCTTTAAACTCTAAAGTTGACCTCCATAATTCAAGTTTACCTTCAACTCCCTCTCTAGTCTTATCAACAAGAAGAATATCATCAGCAAAAAGCATACACCAAGGTACATCCTCTTGCAAATGTCTAGTGAGAACATCCAAGACTAAAGCAAAAAGATATGGGCTTAAGGCTGATCCTTGATGTAACCCAACCGAAATAGGAAAATACTTGGTCAATCCAATTTGTGTTTGAACACAAGTAATAGCTCCTGCATACATATCTTTAATGATTTGAATATAAGCATTATTAACTCCTTTCTTTTCAAGAACTCTCCATAACACTTCTCTTGATCCTTACGAGCCATTTTATATATTTCTTAATTATCATAATTTTTAAAATTAAACCAATTTTTATAACAAAGCTTCTTATTTTTAATTTTTTCTTGCACATTAGGATTCCACCACCAACTATTTTTACTATTGGGAGCTTTTCCCTTTGATACTCCAAGGACATCTTTTGCAATATTCTTAATATCAGTAGCCACTTTTTCCCACATAATATTAGCATCCTCATGCACAGACAAAATCTTAAGATCTAAAATCTTATTTCCAAAAATATTTTTGTTAATATTCTTTAAATGCCCCCATTTAATCCTAGAAAATTGTTTTACTTTATTTTTTATTTTATGCCCCTTTATCTTAAAGTCCAAAACTAATAATCGATGTTGGGTACATAAATTTTCACTCGGAATAACTTTACAATCTTTGCAATCTAAACGATTTAATTTTCTAATAAGAAAATAGTCAATCTGGGTTGTATTATATCCATTTTTATAAGTGATGAGATGCTCATTTCTTTTCTTAAATAAGGTATTAGCAATTGAAAAATCATAAGCTAAACAAAAATCCAATATGGTCTTGCCACCTTCATTCGTCGTTCCAAATCCATGGCCACCATGAATGCTTTTAAAATCATCTACCTCTCTACCAACATGTCCATTTAAATCTCCTCCAATAAAAACTCTTTCTTCAATAGGTATATTTTGTATTAATTCTTCTAAGTCATTCCAAAAATTTAATTTAGAACTCATATCCAAACCTACTTGAGGAGCATAAGCACTTATAATATTAACAATCTTATCATCAACAATAATCTTTAAAGCTATAATTCTATCTTCAATCCTATTAATTTTTATAACATTATCCTTTAAACTCTTATCTATAATAACACCTACACCATTTCTAGTACGACTCCTACCCGAATACCAAAGTTTAAATACTAAACTATCAATTTTCTTATACTTATCTCTAACCCATTTAGTTTCTTGAATGTACAAAATATTTAACTTCCTATGAATCATAATATCTATTAATTCCACTAATTTTCCTGTAAGGGAACCTATATTCCAAGTTCCTATCATAATTTTAGTTTCATGACTAGCTTCTTTGCCCACATCCGTCCTTGATGTGGGAACCCTTGCCTATTTAACACTGCACCCGGGCGCCGGTGCAACGGCCCTTGCACACTTGTCAATATATTCATGCCTTACAGCGCGTCGCTTCCAGGGGACTCCCTAGCATTAACATAATTTCTTAAAAGATTCATGTCATTATTGTTCGACAAGTTTTACGCTGGCTGTCGACTACCTAACGCAACCCTCCACTTTTCTCATCCAGGACTTGGGACCTGGCAACGGTAGTGTTAATGCTAAAAGTATTGTGCTAAAAAAGTACTATACATAAAACTAAGACTAAAATAAAGTAAGAAGCTGAAATCAAATTAATTATAAGTAGATATTATTTTTATCAAAATGGATCTCAACCAAAATTGTTATAGATCTTTATGGCTTCATTAATATAATACCACCTTGGTAGCCCACAAGACTCGGCACAACAAATTCCAACTTCGGCAGCCCGCAAGCACCATATAACAGAATTCCATCTTGGTCACCCACTGGAGCCGAAATAACATAATTCTACCTCAATCTCCTGCTAGCGCCAGCATAACAAAATCCCACCTCGATCTGCCATTAGCGTCAATAATAATATAATATCACAACCATTACATCACATCACATTTCTTTGATATTTTTAAGGTATTTTATTAATTAAAGCAAAATTATATTAAATTTATAAATTATAAAAAACCTCAATGGTAGATAACATAAACATATTGAACAAAAATTCATCATCTCAAAATATATTCAAATTATCAGGGATTATGTAAAACATCATTATGAATATTTAAGTTAACTTCTTATTTTTAGATGTCAATATAATTTTTTGAAAAGAAAAAAACCACAGCTTTTAAAAAATCACTTGATAAATTTTTTTAGAATATACTCAAAATATTTATAATATCAATCTCTATACAACAAAAACAACATCAAGTCTTTATCCCATTACGTGGGGTCAGTTGCATGAATCTTTTTTTCTCCATCGAATATTAATCTCCATAACATATAAAAAATTATGTGGTGAATATTTTATCAAAACAAAGTTATCCTTATTTTTCGGCAATGAAAATATAATTTTGATCAAAAAAATTTAAAAATATCAAATTATTGAAAACTGAAATAGGTGAAACATAACCTACCTCTAGATAAACAAAATTTTCAACTGGGCCAACGGATGAAAATCGCTCTACGACCGCAAAACTCTCACTCACTACAGGAAAACCCCATATTACCGGCGGACGAAATCCGCCGGAAAACATAGATATTCCGACGGAAATATACATTTCCGGTGCACGTTGCGGCGAAAATCCATACGCCGGTTTCGGCCGCGTCAATAAATTATTTCCGGCGCCAATTTTGCGTCGGAAATTTCTCCGACGCAATTTCCGACGTACTACCGGCGAAAAAATGGATCGTTTTCGACGTTGAAAAACGTCTTGAATCCGGTGCCATACAAGAGGTTGAGATCATTAAATAGTCAACTAAGTCTTACTTTGCATACATGAGTGGTTTCAACGAGAAATTTAAATACTAACAATAAGATTAGTTGCTATGAAAAGATCCCTCACACAACTCATCCAATTACTAGGTTTTAGCAGAGAAGCGTTAATATGATCTTCATGAAGAAAATACATTCACATTCAAGGATGCAAGATGCAACTATGAAGATAGAGAGTCGATGTCGATTTTACCCAAAGACAAGAGAGATACGTGCTCTGGAAAAGTTGTATGGTAGTTGGGAATGAAGTGGGCAGCAACCACGAACCTCCTCGCACTTCACCGAGATTAACTTTCCCCACACACGTGGACAGCAGTTGGTGGCCGCATGGATTTTTGGGACAGCAGGAAGTGATGTCGAACTCTCTAGACAACAGTTTTGGTCAGCACTCTTCTCCAAAATTCCAAGTCCTTCCACAAAAGCTAAAAATTTCTTTAAAGGAATCTGAAATATTTCAGATTTTCCTCTCATAAATCTGAGAGGGAAAACTTCAATTCACGTGTCTAGAGGTGTAAGAAGAGCTGGGAAATCACTGGCTGCAGTTTTGGGAGGAAGCGGGCTCAATATTGTAAGGGATTCGGAGAGCTTCTAGTGGAGGAATTCCCACATGATGGCCTAAGAAGATTTCGGCCAGCAGAGGGAAACTGAACTTAATTCTTCCAATCAAAGCATGTTGATTAGGAAAGAATTTAAGAAAATATGAGGGAGAGGAGGGGCCGGGTGGAGTAGAGAGGGGAGCAATTAACTACTTCATCCAGAGAGGGGTTAACTTTGGAAGTAATTAAAAGAGGTGGGGCCTTGAGAGTTTCGGCCAAGAGGTGTGGCTTCAAATTGCTTCCAACGGAT